AAATCCACATTCCAGCTAGAAGATGAAACCAAAGCATAAATGAATAAATAAAATTGCTAGGAACTTTCAGGAAATAATAGCATGTATATTTCAAAATGTGAACCTTAGTTCACATTATTACTAAAGGGGACCCAATAGTCTTACAACAAGATAACCAAGTTTAAATCTTAAATGTATTTGTGTAAAGATTATTTAATAGGAGCAAAAGTCCAAAGCAATGACTTTAATAGAATTATCCTGCATGCTACTAATTAAAGCGTAGGGATTAAATGACTTAATCAGACCTAGTGACATAAATGAAGAAGGAACTGGTTTTATCACAGCATTTTCCTAGAGTATTAGTATTTAAATTTTAGCTCAAGGAAAGAATGAAACGAGACCTGAAGCAAAGCCATTCACTCAAATGCCTCTTCAAATTTTGCAGTCATGGGAAGATGCACGCGGTATGCATTGATAACTCACATTCTTCAAGGGTTTCAAATGTAACCCAACTCCCGGGACTTACTTGGCTGCTGTGTACTGAACCCACTTTAACAAAGCCTTCTTGGCGTTTCCTTGGATCTTGGTGGCCACCTTCCGCTTGCTGGGGGGGCTGGCGGCCTCGGAGCTGACCGTGCTGTCCACAGAGGACGTGCTGCTGGACAGGGTCTGCAGCTGCGGCAGGTTGCTGGTCAGCTCCTCGATCTATGTGGGCGGCAAAGGTGGGCGAAGATTTAGGAATTATCTTTGTTCTTCTTTCCTTGGATGTTTCACTTTTCTAACTAAAAATACTTTATCTTAACTCCCTTAACACTGTTGACAAAAGGTAAGTTTTTAAAGGGCAGGATGGGTGGATGTCCTACTCCTTGTACTTCTTGCTGTATTTAGAACTACACCTCTGTGTCTTATGCACAGTAATAAACACTCTAATCCATGCGAATTAATAAATAAAACCTAACAGTTATCCAAACGCATGGAACATACAACACCAAAAGGGAAGCCTAATGTGAACTGCAGGCTTTGATTGATAATGATGTGTCAATATAGGCTCATTAATTCTCAAAAATATATGGCTCTGGTCAGGATGTTGATTATGGGGTGGCAATGCATGTGTGGGTGTAGGGTTATAGAGGAAATATCTGTACCTTAGGTTAAATTTTGCTGTAAACATAAAGCTGCTCTAAAAAAATGAAGGCTAGGCTGGCCAGTGTGGCTCAGTGGTTGAGCATTGACCTGTGAACCAGGAGGTCAGAGTTTGATTCCCGGTTAGGGCTCATGCCTGGGACGTGGGCTCGATCCCCAGTGTGGGGCATGCAGGAGGCAGCAAATCAATGATTTTCTCTTATCATTGATGTTTCCATCTCTCTCTCCCTCTCCCTTCCTCTCAGAAATCAATAAAAAATATATTTTAAGAAATGAAGGCTAGAACTGTTATTCTGGATGGGATGGCAGGTTAATTTCTCTCCTTAATGTCTAACAGGAGCATAGACCTGCTTCCTTTCAGACAAAGAAAAGCGTTCTGAACTTGCTATAGCAATATTTCATCTTCACTGCGTCCTGCCCACTTTCCAGATCGGGTACTTATGCCAGAATTCTTCAGGGAGGTACATGTACAACTGCTTTAGAGAGAAGAGGAGGAAATTCTGCTACCAAAACCTATGTATGCGTGAAGGTCAGATTTCTGCCAGCTTGAGAATCAACCTCAAAAGTAAGACAAATGACAGCATTATTAAAATGCCCACCATTACTTCCCTCCATGACATTATATCAACTAATAAGGGAGCTATGGCACAATACCTGGAAGTAGAGAATAATGGTCCACACCAGTCCCAGAACTATTGAGGGTCGGCCGTCGGCAATATCAGTGGAGTTAATGTTGACTAATTTGATCTGTTTAAAAAGAAACACTGTACTAGCAATGCACTAGAGATTATAACCCATTTCATTATGCAATGATGCGCACTTTATTAGACATCAATAAGACTTGGTCATGCCTGTGTAGTGATACACACGAGTAAGTAGGAATTCTCAAAAATATATGGCTCTGGTCAGGATGTTGATTATGGGGTGGCAATGCATGTGTGGGTGTAGGGTTATAGAGGAAATCTCTGTACCTTAGGTTCAATTTTGCTGTAAACAAAAGCTGCTCTAAAAAATGAAGGCTAGACTGGCCAGTGTGGTTCAGTGGTTCAGCATTGACCTGTGAACCAGGAGGTCACAGTTTGATTCCCTGTTAGGGCCCATGCCTGGGATGTGGGCTCGATTTTCAGTATGGGGCATGCAGGAGGCAGCGAATCAATGATTTTCTCTCATCATTGATGTTTCTATCTCTCTCTCCTTCTCCCTTCCTCTCAGAAATCAATAAAAAATATATTGTAAGAAATGAAGGCTAGAACTGTTATTCTGGATGGGATGGCAAGTTAATTTCTCTCCTTAATGTCTAATAGGAGCAAAGACCTGCTCCCTTTCAGACAAAGAAAAATGTTCTGAACGTGCTATAGCAATATTTCATCTTCACTGTGTCCTGCCCTCTTTTCAGATTGGGTACTTATGCCAGAATTCTTCAGGGAGGTACATGTACAACTGCTTTAGAGAGAAGAGGAGGAAATTCTGCTACCAAAACCTATGTATGCGTGAAGGTCAGATTTCTGCCAGCTTGAGAATCAACCTCAAAAGTAAGACAAATGACAGCATTATTAAAATGCCCACCATTACTTCCCTCCATGACATTATATCAACTAATAAGGGAGCTATGGCACAATACCTGGAAGTAGAGAATAATGGTCCACACCAGTCCCAGAACTATTGAGGGTCTGCCGTCGGCAATATCAGTGGAGTTAATGTTGACTAATTTGATCTGTTTAAAAAGAAACACTGTACTAGCAATGCACTAGAGATTATAACCCATTTCATTATGCAATGATGCGCACTTTATTAGACATCAATAAGACTTGGTCATGCCTGTGTAGTGATACACACGAGTAAGTAGGGTGAGCCATAATAAAAGCAACAAACACATGGTTTCAGTGGGAATTTCAGGAGCATTCATTAGGTGCACACAATAAAATTAACCACAAAATGAAATTAAAAACTTTAAATTGAAAAATATGACATCATGCAAGGGATTACCAACAAAATACCAGACAGAAAAAAAAAAGAAAAGGTTATTCTTTACATTCAAAACTTGACTGGAACTTAAAAGAAACTGTGATGAATAATTTAAGAAGATGCACTTACTTTGAAGTTTGTTACCAAATAGCATGAAACTTATGTTCTCTTTTACCTATAAAAGTCAGGAGTTAAAAATTCTAAAATTTGTACTAACCGGTGATCCTCTGTACATGGACTGACATGAAAGGCAAAGGGAGAAGATGATATATACAAAAAATAATCTTTGAAAACCAGCATTATTTGTTCAAAGGGAATAAAAATGTAGGAAGTAAATTTAGAGCATTATTTGCAGAATACATTTTAAAGACAAATGAAAGCCAAGAAGTAGTAAAATAGAAAGAGACTGATAGTGTTTAGTTCCCTATTTGGGGCACTGATAATTATAAACTATTCAAGACACGTGTCAAAAAAAGTTATTTCCTCAGTCCTAGCAAAATGAATTTTATCTCAGTCAATCACCATAGAATACAATTAGAACTACTTATCCTTTTATAATCTCCAAACAAAGACAAAATTAATAATAAAGTACTTCTTAAACTTCTAGCTCAATAATTCTCAGCCACAATTTCATTAGCTGTTTTATTAGTTGCATCACTGTTTCTGTTTGAATGATATTAGAAGTAACCTAAGTGCTCATTCATAGGGGAGTGGTTAAATAAACTCTGGTACATCCAGACCATAGAATACTATGCGAAGATGAATGAGGAAGCTGTCCATGAACTGACTCAGATGGTTTCTAGGGTGTGCTGTTAAATTTAAAAAGCAAAGTGTGAGAGTACATCAATAGCACACGCCCCTCATTTCAAAAAGAAGGTGGTATATGAAGAAACATCTGCTCATCTGTGCAAAAGAAATACAAGCATAATAAATGAGAAACTAGAGAGATTAGTTACCTAGACCAGTGGTCGGCAAACTGC